AAAGATGTCCTATATAGATATGAATAAAGCATACAACATTATGGAAATGAAAATTTGTTTCCCTTGACCAACATTTTCCTCATCGAAACCTTCTCCTATGAAATATACTGCTGGTTGTAAAGCATGGCTCTTACCTGATATGTGACCTTGGATGGATTAAACATATACTCTGGCCTTATTTCAAATTATGTGAGCCCTCTAGAAATTGGTCTAAGTCTATCAATTAAAGAAACCTAGGAGTCATTTTAGACAACCATATAGGAAAGTTGCCCTGATGGTCACTGTGGAAGCTGTAATTCCTCTTAGATCTTCTTGCCTAGATGAAGAGTTTGAGGTAATTAGTTTTGTTGTGTTTTCTGCAACCAAGGGATAAACATAATTTGAAGAGAAACAAACCACGGTTCCATTTGACAAAATATTTTCCTTCAATAAGGAGGTTCATACTATTTGCTACAATAAAAATACACTAATATCTTTGTGACTCAGATGCAGAGTTTGCTTATTATAAGGTGACTACTAACTAAAGAAACTTTGCTTAAAATTTAGAATGGAAGATTTTTCATAAATAAAGAGAGCATGAGAGAGTAGGGTAGTCTTCTCCTTAGCTAAGCATATATTTGGAAACAAACATCATATAGTTGAACTTTCAGCATAGTTGTTCTTCATTTGTGAAAGAGAGTATACTTTAACACAAACATATGAGCTAGTTTAAGTTTCTTTCATGCAATGATACCATAAATTAAAGTTGTTTCACCATTTGTAGGGTGCGAAATTATGGGGGCTGGCTCTATTGAACTTTATACCGGGCAAAGTCTGAGGACAGATGTCATGAGGAATCAGTTGCCAACAAGCCGTTAACTACATATGTAGTTTTTTTTGTCGACCTGTGCCCTTGTTAATCTTTAAGCAAACAATTGTGCTGTGTTTTGGTTAATCTAGACCCGCTAGTGTTACTTATACTCGAGTTTAGTTTGCTTCAAACTTCTTTGGTGAATGATACAAATTAACTGGAAGCTTTTCCATGTATGATTTATGTGCACTGCTGGAATTGTTTTCAATGTTTAGAATAGCCCGTGGATTGCTATGTAAATTTCTAAATAAAAAGAAGACTCATATGTTGACACATTGCATGGTGTTATATTTCTCCGTTGGAATTTTCCTGGTTATAACTGATGATATTGAGTTCATTTTGTTGCATCTATTCTCCAAAATTCTATTAAAATATTGGTTCAGACAGGTCCAACTTGCACAGAAGTCTATCAATCGACTGAGGGCTTTGTTCGAGTACAGCACTAGTCAGGATTTGTGGTTTTAAAATGATAGGAAGAAAGAATTCGTCATTGACAGGAAGGTTATGCATCATCTTCATCGGATTCATTATGACACATAGAGGCCTTTCGAACCGGAATATACAGAAGAGCAGCAATCACGCTTTGGTTCACTGGGGATGTCTCCGGACAGACTAATTCCTCCTGTTTGCAGTCTGCTGGAAAACATAGCAATTCAAACAAGTAAACTTCCCTTTAGACTCAAACCCTGAAGGCCGTAATAGAAGGAAGTGGCAAAGCATTTTAATTTCTTTGATACACAACGCATCCTATAGCGAGGAAATGAAGCTTCGACTATTTGTACAGGCCAAAAGAAGCAGAGGAGAGAACATGGAGAGGATTCGGAAGAGAAAAGAAAGAGACCGATACTGGAAACACGGACGGCGTTCACGTAGAGATTGTGGCTAATTGGTGGTCATCGGAGCCTTCAGCGCCAAGGGGCTCCTTATTGGCGAGCGTGGCGTGGGCACCTCCGAGACCCGTCAACCGTCCGCGTCGTAGTATATGACCCCGGGGAAATCCAGTAGCTAGCACTTCTCCCCCATCAGTCTCCGCTGTCTTCCAGCTCGCCATTGGCGTCCTCGTCCGTGGCCCTCTTCTTCCCGTGGGCGGAAGAAATGACGCAGTACTGGTGGAAACCAGGGACATCACCGCGTGGAGTAGCCCGATCGGCATGGGCGTGCGTGCTTGTGGAGCTCCTCAAGGACAGTCTTGCCGATCGCTTCCTGTGACGTCTTCCCTCCCTCGTACGACGTACTTATAAGCTAGATGAGCAGGAAGGAAGGTCCGGGGTTCACGTTTCTTGCACTTGTGTCGTTTACATGGAACCGTGTGTTCATGATCATCAGGGGATGACGGATGACCGCGAGAGAGAGAGACAAAGAAGACAAGGTCTCCGTCAACAGGTTCTTTTCTGACCCTACATAACTGTAATCCTCAATCTGACTTTAGTTGAAGAAACTAAATTGTTTTTCTTTCTTTTTACTATAACAAAAACTAGAAGGTTAGTTTTGATCGTAGGAAGAACATACACAACTTGGTATGTTCAAATTTAACATGAATTTGTCTCCATCTAATCAGTTTTTCAAATATTATCATATTCAATAAAGAAAGAAGAGAAAAAAAAAAGAAGGAATCAAAACTTAGATGAGGAAAAAATTATTTCGAATGCTGAAAACATCCTTTTCTAAATTTTTTACTTCTAAATTATGATATCTTGTATCTTTTATCTATGAGCATTGATTAGATATGATATGTTCAATAAATATTGATTAGATTTCATACGTCCAGTTTTCATTTATAAAAAAATAATGAACACATCAATGGTAAGATTCAAAAAACAGACCAAGATATATAGGAGGATCGAAGGGAGAAGAACCATAGAGGGAAATTACGAATTCAAAAAAAGAAAACATATCAAAATCAGACATCAAAAGGAATACACTCTAGCCCTAAATAGATAGAAGATCAAAAGAAATTGAACAAGTGGAACATCAAATCCAAATAACCAAGAAACAGAAAGTGACCCTCAATCTAAAACAAGACTTAATCAAGAAATAAGAGGGCCAACCCCCCTTAAGGGGGGCGTAGGACGATAGCAAGTATGGTATATCCCATGATGTTGGGCTTCTGCCTGTACCCATCCTCACCGCTTGCGTCATTCCCGAGATCTCGAAATGACAAAGAAAACTAAAATCGAATCCTACCCCCCTATCACAAATAAGACATGATCAAGATAAAGAATAGCTAAACGGGTGCATACGAGGGTGTCGACGATGGTGCACCGCCCAGATGACAGGCAACAACTTGATCCTCCTCGAAGCCCCATTTCCAAGTGTCCTTCATGATCGGAACGAGCTCAATGTTCCAACCGAGAGCACTATCGAAGCCTAACTAAATCGAACCAATATAACACAAAGGCTAGTGGACGCCAACGCACATATGAAAACGTCATAACTCTAATAAAAGTCTCCAACCAGAGGATAATTACAACCTGATTGATTATGAAATCAAAAGAACACCGAAACCGATTTCTCTAACATCAATTATTCTTCTCCCTCTTCAGCATGTTCTTGAACCAGTAGGCCGATTCCTTTGGGTATCGCATGTTTGTCTTAAAGTCCACGTAAACCAGACCAAACCTCGAAGTGTAACCCAACCTCCACTCGAAGTTATCGAGGAGAGACCATGCAAAATATCCGATCACCGTCGCACCATCATCCATCGCCCTCTTCAGCTCAGTGATGTAGCTCTTGTAGAAGTTGATCCTCTTAGTGTCGCGCAAACCTTCTGGTAGAGTGACATTGCCTGGCTGATCCATTCCTACGATCATCATCAT